CTTTTTCAGACCGATGAGCTTTGTAAAAATCGACGCGTTTCAGAAAGGCGGGGCATAGAGGAGAAACAATAATGTACAGTATGTGGAAAATAATGTGTTTTTTTTACTTTAAACCGCATAAACACATTTCATTACACCAAATACACAAAATAATGTTCTTTTTAGCAGCATCATATGACCCCTTTAAGGATGAATCGAGAAATGCACCAAAGTGAATGAGAAAAACTGTAAAAGATTTTGTTTGCAAAATGTTTATCTATGTACTGTGTATATTTATTATGTATATATAAATACACATCCATACAGTATATATTTTGAAAATATTTACATATATTTATATTCATATAATTTATATTATGTACAGTTATGTCCATATATATTTAGACACAGGCACAATTTGTATTGTTTTAGCTGCTGACCAAAACATATTCAAGTTATATACAGTTATATGATGAATATGGGCTTAACGTGCACACTCTGCGCTTTAATTTGAGGATATTCTCATCACAATTAGAGGAAAGGTTAAGGAATTACAGCTCTTTAATATGTACCTCCCCCCTTTTTCAAGGGACCATATTGGACAATTGACTCAAAAGCTGTTTCATGGACAGATGTGGCCTATTCCTTCATTATTTCTACATCAATTAAGCAGGTAAAAGTTCTGGAGGTGATTCTAAATGTGCCATTTGCATTGGGAAGCTGTTGCTGTGAACCACATCATGCAGTCAAAGGATCTCTCCATACAGTACAAGTGAAACAGACAATTGTTAGGCTTCACAATCAAAACAGATCCATCAGAGAGATAGCAGGAACATTAGGAGCGGCCAAATCAACAGTTGGTACGTTCTGAGAAAAAAAGACCGCACTGGACGTCCACGGAGGAAACAGTGGTGGACGATCGGAGAATCCTCTCCGTGGTAAAGAAAAACCCTTTCACAACATCCAGCCAAGTGAAGAACACTCTCCAGGAGGCAGACGAGTCTCTGTCAAAGTCTACAATCAAGAGAAGCCTTCACCAGAGCAAATACAGAGGCTTCACCACAAGCTGCAAACAAGGCCAGATTAGACTTTGCCAAAAAACATCTAAAAAAGCCAGAGCACTTCTGGAAAAGCACTCTTTGGACAGCTGAAATTAAGATCAACCTGTACCAGAACGACGAGAAGAAAAAAGTGTGGAGAAGGCTTGGAACAGCTCATGATCCAAAGCACACAGTGTATAGAGATATACTCTCTGCCCAGATTCAGTCAGATTCAGTCATTGCCTGCAGATTCTCAACCAAATATTAAAAATGAACATTTTATTTATGATTATATTTATTTGTCCAATTACATTTGTATTATACTGTCATATTATGTAAGTAGTCTGCAGTACTATTATAAAGCTCTCAAACTACCGGAATTTCATCTTTCTTTTTGGCCATATGAATCAGCATTTGCACCAAATAACATATTTTGCTCTCAGGGCCTCTGAATAAAACTGAGGTGTTTTCACCTCTAGTATAAGCTTCATATTATCACTATACCATACTATATGAGCAACAAAAGCCTGATTTATCAAATATGATACCCAGATTTTAAGGTTCAATAAATTGTTCTATTTAAAAAAAAAAGAGAGATGTTTCTGACTATTATTTCATATGTCAGGATAAACAGGGTTGTAAAACTGTGCTCGTACTTCTGCTTGATGATCTTCTCTAGTTCGGGCAGCTGGTCTTTCAGAGCTGGAATGAGTTTGGAATCTTCACACACTGTCTCATAAAACTCCTGCAACAAACAACAAAGCTTTGTGAACTGGTTAACTTGAAGCAGCTAACACAGCTGAGCGGATCAGAGCTGCTGACCTGGATGAAGTTGAAAGAGCTGTCCTCCTCCTGCAGGTGCTCTGTGTTGATTGCGGCCCACTGTAAGACCAGACGAATCACCCTGCGCTTGTTATTGAGAGAGTAATCCATCCGCTCCTGTTCACTGCCCTGAGACGGCTGAGCGTGATAGGTGAACGAGCGCTAAGGACTTCAGAGCCACACACAATCTGAGAGTTTAGCGACCTTCTCATTTGTTGAATAAAACAATATTCGTAAAGGACACAGCTATGGCACATTGACCATTTGTACCGAGCTGATGAACTACAGAGACTTCGGTTATATATTTCACCAATCAGTCAGCACAGCTGTAAAGGATATTGGGCCATGAGCAGAGGACACAGCTGACTGTTTGGGACAAAAACACAGTGCATAAGCAAAAAGTCATCCAGAGCAGGATCTACAGAGACAGAGAAAAAGAAAAGTTAGCTAAAGGTGGTTACAATTTGCAACATGAATCATGGTAAAGTGATTTTAAGCTAATTCTGTTAAATGTGATCGACTTCTTCTGTAAATGCATGTAATGTATGTTTAATGTATGCACTGTGTCATGATCTCTAGCTGGAGTGCCCGTGAGCTTCGCTAGAGGGCACTCCATCCCAGACTTTACCACTCCATCAAAAACTTCATTTCCCATAATCCTTTGCCCGGACTCATCAACACTCACTGTTTGCACCTGTGTCTCATTTACCCTGTCTGCTCACCCTATATAAGTCTGGTTTAGTTTGTCATTCTTTGTGAAGTCTTGTAAGTGTTACACTGCATCTCTGAGCGGTTCTCCTGTTTATATGGATCTTGGTTTTTGAACTCTTTGCCTGTGTTCTCTGCCTTGTTGTTTAGTCGGACTGATTGCCTGTGTGTTGACCCTGTCTGATTTCGATTCTGGACTTTCCTAATAAATTCCTGCATTTGGATCCTCACTCTGTTTACGTCTCTGAGCAGTCCGTAACAGAAGACTTCACCGATAATGGATCCAGCAGTAAAGATGATGTTTCTCCGCCAAGGTACACGTTCCATTGAGGATTATGTTGTGGATTTTCTTGAACTGGCACACGTGACTCATTTAGATGAAATATGCTTAATGATATTTTTTCGAGGGGGCCTATCTGACCTTCTCAGTTCAAACATGCCACTGCATGACCCTAACTGGACACTGGAGTATTATATTGACGTAGCATTACAGCTGAGTGGCTCTCCTTTTACCGTGGGAATCGCAGAGGAGGAGAACGATTCTCCCATAGTAATCTCCACTCCTGAGCCTTGTCACAAAATGGTCGCCAACCCAGCGACTGATCATAAAATGGCCACCAGCCCAGAAACTATTCCTCTAGACTCGGTGCTCCCTGTAATGGGGGTCGCTATCCTGTGCGTTTGGGCTACTTACTGCTCAATTACTCCTCCTGTGCCCGATCCAGTCCCTGAGTCCACTCCAGCTCCCCCAGAAGTGGCAACTTCTGCTGCAGAACCTCCAGAGGTGGCGGCATTTGCTGCAGAACCTCCAGAGGTGGCGCCAGTCGCTGCAGAACCTCCCAAAGCGGCAGCGCCCACTTCAGCTCTTCTCGAGGTGTTGGCTTGTGCTGCAGAACCTCCAGAGGCAGCAGCGTCTGCCTTTGAACTTTTAGCCTGTCCTGTCACGGCCAAGGAGGCCATCTGTGAACAATCTGTCTGTCCAGCCACGGCCAAGAAGGCCGTTTGTGAACTCTCTGTCTGTCCAGCCACGGCCAAGAAGGCTGTTTATGAACTCTGTCTGTCCAGCCACGGCCAAGGAGGCCGTTTGTGAACTCTCTGCCTGTCCAGTCACGGCCAAGGAGGCCGTATGTGAACTCTCTACCTCTCCTGTCATGGCTATGGAGGCCGTATGTGAACTCTCTGATTGTCCCGTCACGGCCAAGGAGGCCGTTTCAGAACTATCTACCTGCTCTGCTACGCTGAATGAGCATTGTTATGAACTTGTTGTCCCACCCAACCTCTCTCTCCCTCCTCCTCCTCTACCTGTCATGCTGTTTGTTCTGTCTCCGCTTTTGTCTGTCTGTCCCTCAGGTCATCCTTTAAGGGTGGTGACTGGTCAGGATTCGCCTCGGGCCAGCCAGCCTTCAGCTACACCAGGATTGGAGGATCCCAGGTCTCCGTCTCCTGCCTTTGAGACCTGGACTCCACTTCGGTCCGTCGACCCTTTGGTGTCGCCTTGGCTCAAAGCTCCCTCATCGCCACTGTGGCCCATCAGTCCACCAGCTCCACCGGGCTTCCTCATTTCTCCGGCTCCACCTTGGTCATTCACTGACCCGCCTTCGCCTCAGGACTACACTCCTCTGGCTTCGCCTCATCCCTCCGTCCCTACGGCTCCGTTGGGCTCCTCTCTCCCTCCGGCTCCGCCTTGGTCCTCGGTCGCTCCGACTCCACCGCGGCCTTCCGGATCCCCACCTGCGCCTCGGTCGCCAGAGCTGTCGGCTCCACCATGGCCCTCCGATCCCTCAGTGTCACCCCGGCTCTTCGGCTCTCTGTCTCCGCCTTGGGCTCCCCTTCCTCCGTCTCCGTCAGTCGGACCCCTGATACCTCTAGTGTCACCTTCATGGTTCCTCCCTCCGTCAACTCCTCCATGGACTGATAGTGGAGCGTTTGGAAGCCGCTCCTTAAGGGGGGGCTCAGTCATGATCTCTAGCTGGAGTGCCCGTGAGCTTCGCTAGAGGGCACTCCATCCCAGAATTTACCACTCCATCAAAAACTTAATTTCCCATAATCCTTTGCCCGGACTCATCAACACTCACTGTTTGCACCGGTGTCTCATTTACCCTGTCTGCTCACCCTATATAAGTCTGGTTTAGTTTGTCATTCTTTGCGAAGTCTTGTAAGTGTTACACTGCATCTCTGAGCGTTTCTCCTGTTTATATGTATCTTGGTTTTTGGACTCTTTGCCTGTGTTCTCTGCCTTGTTGTTTAGTCGGACTGATTGCCTGTGTGTTGACCCTTGCCTGCTGTCTGATTTCGATTCTGGACTTTCCTAATAAACACTGCATTTGGATCCTCACTCAGTCTCTGAGCAGTCCGTAACACACTGTGTAATGTATTTAGAGTTGCCACTTTTGAATTTTTTTGAAACATTCAGACCATATTATTATTTTTTTTTTTTTTTTTTTTTTTTTAACCAGTTTGACTGATTCATTGAAAATGCATGATTCAAATGAACAATTTACTCGAATGAAATCAGTAGCTATTGCAAACAAGTTTTACAAATGTTGTGCACAAGGGCAATATCTATACTACCATGCAAAATTATGGGATTGGTAAAATGTTTCATAATTTTGTGATTATAATTGTGAACTATTATTGCAATTCAAAATTATGATTTTATTTTGTAATATATGTTCAAATGTATTTTATTCCTGTGATCAAAGCTGTGTTTTCAGCATCATTACTCCAGTCTTCAGTGTCACATGATCTTCAGAAATCAGTCTAATATGATGATTTGCAGCTCAATAAACTTTTCTGAATATGATCAATGTTGAAAACAGTTTTTTGAGGAATACAGAGTTCAAAATAACAGCATTTATTTGCAATAGAATTTTGGAACATTATGGATTTTTTTTTTACTGTCACATTCACAATTTAATCAGTGTTCCAGGTTACTTTAGAAATGTAATAGGTTACAGATTACAAGTTACCCTACTTAAAATGTAATAAGTAGTGTAACTTTTTAATTCCTTTATTAAAGTAATGTAACTGATTACATTTGATTACTTTTTGATTACTTTTCTAAATTTCTAATATTTTCAACTGTTAATCATTTTCAAACATGTAAACCAGGCAGGGTTAAACTTACAATATGTGCTCAACACTGAAAACTGTCAGACTTTCGAAATCCTTCATCACTTGAATTAAGATTATAATTGTATTTTAAAGGAGACATTGGATGCAAAATATCTTCATTTGCATATAAATGTATCTTAGCAGTGTGTGGACACAACCACCCTACAATGATAAAAATTCACTCCTTTTTTTTAATCCCCCGAAAACCTAAAGAGTCTGAATTATAAAGCCATTTTGATTTTGGAGTGAATACCAGCACTCTCTTCCACCTTCAATACCACGACTGAAGTGAGACCCTTGAGCAAGGCACCAAACCCCCAACTTTGTTGGTGTGTGTTTACGGTGTGTGTGTGTGTTCACTGCTGTGTGTGTGCACTTGGATGGGTTAAATGCAGAGCACAAATTCTGAGTATGGGACACCATACTTAGCCATATGTCAATTCAATTCACTAAATTTGTTTATGTCTGGCTGCGCAAATCATTTTACTCCAGGCAGCTTTCTGAACTAGGGACAATTCAAGGCAGGTTTTGTTAAAAAGTTAAAACTCAAGGATGGATCAGTACCCATTGTTCATGATCCAGCTGCAGATTTCAGACTTACTTTAAAATCATTCTGAGGTTAAATACATATTTAAAATCATAACAAGAAATAGTTTAATAGTTATGATACTGTTTTTGAAATCAAATCTTTGCATATCTATGACAGGAAACACTGGAATCTAACAATGCCTTAGAAAAAAA